TGGTAGGATGGTATGGAAGTGAACAGAGTGAGGTGGATGTCACTGAGTGCTTGGCAGCAAAGACTGAGGTATAGAGGTGTTTGCTCTGGTTGAGTCAGTGAAATGAAAAGCAGTGAGCTTTGATCAGAAATCATTCCTCTTACTCTCTGACGTTTCCTTCTTTTAAGCTTTCATCAGTGTTTGTTTTTCTTTAGGGGTGAAGTGGGTTCACTCTAAATCCACTGATCCACTTATACTGCTCTCCTGCTGGTTCTTTTCTTTTTTTCATCAGGTGGGCAGTGAAGGCCAAGTAGAGGACCAAGCAGGGACTGAGCACTGTAGGAAACTTGTCAGCTTCACCCTATCAGGTGAGAGGACTGATTCAGTGGAATTTTCATGTAGTGTTGATCTAGAAAACAAACATGCTTATTCAGGTGTGTTTTTCTCTCCAGACATCCGGGCGGTGGGCCTGAAGAAAGGCATGTTCTTCAACCCAGACCCCTACCTGAAGATGTCCATCCAGCCCAGGAAGAGAAGCGGTCTTCCCAAGTTCACCCACCATGGCCAGGAGAGACGATCCTCCATCATAGCTAACACCACCAACCCTGTGTGGCATGGGGAGGTCAGCACAAACACACACACCTAGTGAGGTGCACACAGCGGGGATTCAGAAAAAGATTGTGGTAATGCACAAATGAATATAGTGTTTATAGGAAAATGTGTTGACAGGTTTTTAAATCACACTTACAATACAAGTGAATTCATTTTTCCAAGATGGGAGCTTGAACTTTTTAAAATAGAGTTCATGAGTTTGAGTACATATTACTTTGTGTGGACTTCTGCTGCTTGCTCCCACCTTATGCCTGCATTTTGGCAAATATTTGTTTATAATAGTTTGTTGAAGCTAGACAGGATCCACATTGATTAATATAGCAGCTTATCAGTTGAGTGATGCACGCATCTCAAAAAGGTGAGTGAGTCCACTCAGATACAGGACTATTGTTCTGAATTGGATCGGCTCTTTTCTGGCTGATACTGATCCTGTAAAACACAATGTGCCTGGGCCAGCACTGATACTTGGTATCTAGTAAATATACCACATTTCCAGATAATGTAATAAAACTGTTTCCTATTGTTCTTTCTATAGAAGTACACCTTTGTGGCTCTTCTGACTGACGTTTTGGAAATAGAAGTGAAAGATAAGTTTGCCAAGAGCCGACCAATCATCAAGCGGTTTCTGGGTCAGCTGATCATCCCTGTGCAGAGAGTTCTGGAGGGGCCGACAGTTGAGTGAGTCAACACACACATACTTGCAAAGGTGTCCATAACTGAGAGGCATAGACATACGTTTGACCTTCGGCACTTGACCACAGTGACTTAGTGTAGTTTAGTCAGTAGCAGTTGATACATTCCCATCAGCTCATTGTTCAGGCATTTGACTGATTTGATATCGATTTGAACAGAGGACATTTTGCAGTGAACCATGATGTATAGAGTGTGTGCACACTGTTTACCCCAGGTTGACACAAACTAACTGCATGTGAATGGCCAGCTTTTTCATGTATTCATTGCTTTCATCTGAATAAATGCCAGTAGCTCTCCAACTGTAAATACAGTATGTCATATGTCACAGTATATGTGTGTGTCTGTGTGTGTACAGCGATCAGCTCATCAGCTACAGCCTGTGTCGTCGACTCCCTACAGACCACGTGAGCGGGCAGCTTCTGTTCAGAGTGGACATCACCTCTAATGGACATGAAGGTGTGTATATGTACTTCTTCAGCCTAATGTACACGAGCATGAGAGAAAGTAAGTGATTTGTGTGACGTGTGGTGTTGGCATTTTGGAACTACAGACAGAGCCAGGCTAGATTCTCATCTCTCCTCTCTTCATCCATCCTCTTCTGCAGAAGCCTCCCCAGAGGCAGTAGGAACCCTCTTGGGCAGTGCAGTGAACAGTGACCCCGGCAGTCCTTCTGACGATGAAGACCTCCCTCACCCGTCCTCATCTTCACGTGTCACATGCAGACTATCTCCCTCAGGCTCTGATGAGGGCTCCCTGTTGATCAACGGTTCTTGTTACTATGGCGATGATAGTGTGTGGCGGGAGCTGGGGCAGATGGCAGAGGAGGAACTGCATCCTGAGGTCCCGGGTGGCTACACCCACAGGCAGGTGTCACTCAATGATTACCTGGATGCCATTGACGCTCCCAGGAGCCCTGGGGACCGACCTCTGGCAGGGCCTTTGCCAAAACTGCGCTCCAGCTTTCCAACGGACACGCGGCTGAATGCCATGCTGCACATAGACTCAGATGAAGATGAGGAAACAGTGGGGCAGCACAGCGATCAATCACAGGAGATGAAAACACAGCAGAGCACAGAGTTAGTCTTATCAAGAAGATCAGACACATCTAAATCTCAACAGGGGAATGGAGACTCAAAAGGAGAGCCACAGGGGCAGAGTGGGACTGGGCCTGGAGCTGGGGCTCCAGAAGAGACAGTCTCATCTTCTGGTGATCAGCCTCTAACTGAGCCTGCAGTGGAGGAAACATCAACAACTGCTGTGACTGGAGAGGCTGATGGTGCCTCAGGTGAAACCACCACAGTCTCTCGCTCATCTCAGGCATCAGGGGCTGAGGTGCCTGCAGCTGCTGAGGCTGCAGTGGAATGTACCTGCCTGGAGCAAAGCAGCAGAACAGGTGCAGCACTTGGTCCACTTTCTCCCGTTCAGGTGAGCAGCTGTAATCTAGTTGACTGAAAGCTAGAAGCAATTTATCATTAGATGACATGACTCTCCACTCCTCAGGAGGTGAAATCAAGAAAAGAAGTGGCTCCAAAGGCAGAGGAGGAAGGGGCAGAGTCATCGAGCAGCGAGGCGAATGGGCCAGTAGCAACATCTGCTGCTAGCAGCAGGAACACAGCTGAGCAGGGAGGAGCTGGTAGGTGGTAAATGGTTTTGAATAATGAGTATTTCTACTGTACAGTTATTTTATTTTTTTCTGTCATATAACAGGAGCATATTAATGCAGACATTCACAGGCTCACTGGAGGACTGAGCAATCAGGGAGTATTAATAAAAGACTGGAACTTTATTCAGATTAGAATACATTTTCTGCAGCTGCCAAAAAAGCTGCTGGATTACAGAGAGAACAGTTGTGCTTACTTGACCTTTTGACAGTGTTAGAAAATAACAGTGCACTTGGTGACAGTGAAGATGCTCTGTGGAAATAGATCTATTTTTTCCTATTCTTAATGAGAAGGAAAAATATGTCATTGTCATGATGGTAGCTTATATGTAATGTGTCTTTTTATTTCCTTATGTGTGTCTGCAGGCGCCACAGCTCCGGTCAATTGCCACCAGTCTGTTCGTTCCCTGCCGTCTGTCCGCCATGACATTAACCGTTACCAGAGAGTGGATGAGCCGCTGCCACCTAGTGAGTGTGTGTGTATATACTACAGTACATTATGATTTAACACGCAACTTTAACCCTCTTTTTTGTAATCATTTGTAAGTGTGTACTGTAATGTAAATTGTGTGTGGGTGAGCCAGACTGGGAGGCTCGTATCGACAGCCATGGTCGGATCTTTTATGTGGACCACGTGAACAGAACCACAACTTGGCAGCGACCCACCGCTCCCCCTGCCCCACAAATCCTCCAGAGGTCCAACTCCATTCAGCAGATGGAGCAGCTGAAAACTGTAAATGTTAAAAAATGTAGTTGAATTTTTCACTGACACACACACACCTTTCCAGGTATCAGAGTATACGCAGGACGATAACCAATGACAACAGACCAGAAGAGCAGCCAGCCAGTGAGCTGCTGACGGATGAGACTGACGCACACCCCTCCATCATAGGTAATCCTCTCACTGCACTGCATTCTGGTCTATGTAGTAAAACACATCCTTCATCCTTGATTTGTATGTTTCCTCTGACACTGTGTGTGTGTGTGTGTGTGTGTGTGTGTGTGTGTGTTACAGAGCTGCGTAGGGACAACAGTATGGCTCAGACCAGTTCCAGGTCTCGACTCACCCTGCTGCTTCAGTCTCCCAGCGCCAAGTTCCTCACTAGCCCAGACTTCTTCACTGTGCTGCATTCCAACCCTGTATGGACACTTTTAAAACTTCTCTTCTTTCATTCATCTTTCTTTTTCTTTACCTCCCTTTTATAGATCACATTTCTACTTCTTTCAGGAAACAACGAGGCCTAAACTTAGTAGAGGTTGTATGCAAATAATTTGCGACATCAAAAAAGGAAGAGGATTTACATAGTAAATAGATAGATAGATAATACATAGTCTACCACCCTCCCAATATTTTGAATCATGACATAAGTCAGATCATTTTAATTTAAAATGAAAATGACTGCAATATTCATTGTTTGCGATAAATATATTTTTCTGAAATGTTGTAGGGTGGGTCCAAAAGTGAGACACTGGAGAGGCTCTAGCTTCTAAATAAATTTAAATACAGTATACATCAGGCCCGATTTACACATATTTTAAATTTCTAATACCTGGATAAAATCAAGATAAATCTTATTTGGCTGGGTCACATATCTGATTAGTCCATCTTTATGTCTCATCTGTGTGTAAATAAGGACCAGCTGTATTCCAGTTCAGAAGGTGGTAATGCATCTGAAACTGTGTGATAACAGAAGAATAACCTCTGCAGTTTAGTCGTTTAATTAAATCAGTAAAGGTTTAGCTAATATTAGCTAACAACACCACAATACAAACATCTACATCACCACCCCAATTATTTTTATACAGTGAGCTGGATATTGTATGTGGAGTGCCTCAGGGTTCTGTTTTGGGACCTAAATTATTTATATTATACATCAACGATATATGTAAGGTTTCTGAAATTGTTAAAGTGGTTTTGTTTGCTGATGATACTACCATTTGGGCATCTGATGAAAACCTACAGCAACTCTCGGTAAGGGTTTCAGAGGAATTTGTGAAGATAAAGAAATGGTGTGATAGTAATTTACTATCTTTGAATTTGGAGAAAACTAAATATATGGTATTTGGGAACCGTAGACCACATAATGAACTTCAATTGAGAATTGGGGGTGCTAACATTGAACGAGTATATGAAATCAAATTTCTGGGTGTCATGGTTGACGACAGATTATCCTGGAAATCTCATATCAGATATGTTCAGCATAAAATAGCTAAAAATATATCGATATTGGCAAGGGTTAGATATATGCTGGACGTTAAAGCATTGCGCATTTTGTATTCTTCATTGATTTTGCCATATTTGGAGTATGGCGTGGAAAACTGGGGAAATACATACA